AGAGATGTAGAGTGAGGGGCGTTATGTCGAGGTGTATAAATGGAATTCGGCTAAACAAAGGTGATATAAAAAGTTACCAAACATCATCATTAACTCTAATACGCTGGTTAGCTTCAAGCATAGGCTCGTTAGCTCGTTTGTGGTTCGTGAGCTCGAAGTGAAATTTGTTGTGCCATTTTTTACTAGTATGAAAATTGTGCCATGTTTTACTAGTATGAAAATTGTGCCATTTTTTCCTGTGCCATATTTTCCTTTGACATTTTTTCCGGTGCCATTTTTCCGAGTACCGAGTAGACACTGAGAAGCTCGGGCGCAGGAACTCCGAGGGACTTGAGTCGGCGGAGAAGGTGGAGACAGAAACTGGAGGATTTGACAACTTTACTGACGTGTGGTTTCCAATTTAGTTTGTTGTCTATGGTGACACCGAGGAGCTTAGTAAAATCTACAACCTGGAGTGTGTTGGGACCTAAAGTAATGGAAGGGGATGGGACAACGTCGGAGGAGAGGTTGATGTGCAAAACCATGGTCTTGGTATGGTTGATGGTGACGTGGCTGTTGGTGGCCCAGTTTTGGAGACTGTTCAATAAATCCTGAAGGGCGGTATTGTCGGAAGCAGAGTTGTTGACACTGATCCCAATGGTGGAGTCGTCGACATATTTCCAGCGAGCAGGGGCTTCTCTTAGGGCATCATTGATGAGCATAAGGAAGCATAGTGGTCCCATCTTGGTGCTTTGGGGGATGCCACAGGTGAGTGGCTAAGAGGTGGATACTGTCCCTCGGAAGCGTATAGCTTAGCGTCGGTAACATAAGAACATAAGAATGGAGGAAACTGCAGCGGGCCTGTTGGCCCATACTGGGCAGTCCCATTTACACCCAACCCCTATTCCTCATATAAGCATCCAACCTATGTTTGAAGCTATCCAGCGTATTTGAGTTAATGATATTTGGTAGCTTGTTCCATTCATCCACTACTCTGTTACCAAACCAGTGTTTACCTATTTCGCGCATAAATCTAAATTTGTCTAATTTAAAACCATTGTTACGAGTTCGCTCCTGGCTGCATAGTTTGAGTACCTTTGTAATGTCCCCTTTGTTCAACCCTGACTTCCATTTATACACCTCTATCATATCGCCTCTCACTTTACGTCTCTCGGGGAGTGCAAATTAAGAAGATTTAACTTGTCTCTGTACTCAAGGTTCCTAATGCCCGGGATTAGCTTTGTCATTCTCCTCTGAATTCATTCCAAGGATTCTATATCCATTCTGTAATACGATGACCATAATTGAACGGCGTAATCCAAGTGAGGTCTCACAAGAGCAAGATATAGTTTTAGGATGACCTCGCTAGTCTTGTAACTAACACTCCTTTGTATGAACCCAAGTACTTTATTAGCTTTGTTTCGAGCAAATATACATTGTTTACTTGGCTTAAGGTTGCTACTTATCATTACTCCTAAATCTCTCTCGCAGTCGGATTTCTCAATGGCATCGTTGTTCATCTGGTAACTGGTTTCCCTGTTTACATCTTCTATACTGGGTACTTTACATTTGTCCACGTTGAATTTCATCTGCCATTTTTCAGAACATTCGAAAAATTTGTTTAGATCTTCCTGTAGTTTTGCGGAGTCCTCGTCAGATTTAACAACACGTCCTATTTTAGCGTCATCAGCAAATTTACTTATGTCGCTGTCTATACCGATATAAATGTCGTTTATGTATATAATAAATAATAATGGTCCAAGTACTGAGCCTTGGGGAACTCCGCTAGTGACGTTGCTCCAATGGGATTTAGTGCCGTTAATGTTCACTTGCTGTTCCCTGTCCTGTAACCACGCCCTAATCCATTTAAGGATATTACCTTTGATGCCATGTGCTTCTATCTTTCCAATTAGTCGTTCGTGGTGGACTCTGTCGAAGGCTTTGCTAAAGTTGAGATATACCACATCATAATTGTGCTCCTCGTCCACCGATTCGAAAACTGATGAAAAGAATGTTAATAGATTAGTTAGACCTGAACGCCCGCTTGTGAAGCAATTCTGGGAATCATTGATCAATTGGGTTCTGAGGAAGACTGTAAGCCATGGTATAAGACTTCTTCGAAATTCCGAGGTCGATAGTCTTGTATGTGTGTGTGTGTGTGTGTGTGTGTGTGTGTTTTCTGTGTGTGTTCTGTGTGTGTGTGTGTGTGTGTGTTCTGTATGTGCGTGTGTAATAATAACAATAATAATAATAATTAACGGTTTATTAAGATAACATGGCAGCCCGAAGGCAGAAAATGTACAATGAATAGAGATGATAAGTTACATATGGTGAAATCAGGGAGTGGGTCACTTGATTGATAAAAGCTTTCAATACAAAAATATAAAAAACATAGTCAACATGTAGATTAACTTTAGATCTATTACTGCGGGAGCTGATCTGTAGACATTCTTGTGACCTGATGTCGGCGCCAAAAAAGTCCTTCCCACTGTCTTGATGGCCGTTGTACCTGGCTGCAAAGCCGATACCTCACTACAGCTGCAGATGTACCACGTGGTCTGGGTAGGTCCTCCAGCTCGCACAGGGTGTTGGAAATGGTTCTTGTTTCTTAAGTGGTGTAGTTAAGAATTCATAGTTCCTCACATGGGTGGAGTAGGGAGTCCTCATTTCTCTCTTGATGTAGTTTAGAGTCTTTCTTGACTTCTCATCCAGTGTTGGTGGTGGTGAGTGTACGATGGTTCCTGGGTGTGTCAGGTCCGCGTCAGGTCAACATTGACTGCTAAGCACGATTGTCACTCTAACAGTTGTTTCTTTCTTTCGAGTTGAAATTGAGACTTTTGTTTATCACTAGTGGGTTGATCGTCAATCTTTGCACTGTACTGTTGGTGTGAGGATGTTAATAAATCCAGATGGGAAGGAGGAGATGGGGAAGGGGAAGGCCCGACAAGCCAGGCTGGCAGCTGTCTCCATGGTCAAGAGACCATGGGCAGCGCCGACTACACACGTCCTTACCCTATGAAGGCTGAAGGAAGTATTTGTGTGTGTGTGTGTGTGTGTGTGTGTGTGTGTGTGTGTGTGTGTGATAATAATAATAATAATAATAATAATAATAATAATAATAATAATAATAATAATAATAATAATAATAATAATAATAATAAAAATAATAATAATAATAATTAACGGTTTATTGAAAAAGTTCGACAGCCCGAAGGCTGAAAATATACATTGGGCAAAAATTACTTATTACAATCAAAGACATGGAGTGGGTGGGTCGTTTAACAAAAGCTTTCATTACAGACAGAAGGAGGAACAATGATTGAACATACAAATTATTATAGTTTACAGTTGATGGTCCGGGCCTGGGCTGGTCATTGAGACACCAGGTGGTGAGGTGTTCACGTGGTGTATTAACTCGTCCTTGGGTCTTGATATGAAGGACATTACGTGGTAATGGATACACGAGGTGGTGTGGTGTTCACGTGGTGTAGTAACTCGTCCTCGGGTGTTGATATGAGGGACCTCACGTAGTCATGAAACATCGGGTGGTGTGGTGTTCACGTGGTGTAGTAACTCGTTCTCGGGTGTTGATATGAAGGACCTCACGTGGTCATAGAGACACCAGGTGGTGTGGTGTTCACGTGGTGCAGTGACTCGTCCTCGGGTGTTGATATGAAGGACCTCAAGTGGTCATGGAGACACCGGGTGGTGTGGTGTTCACAACATGTCCAGTCCAGAGTAGTTGTTCACTGACTTACTTACGCCATGCCTTCTTCATCAGTGCATACGCCCCAACAATTGATGGAGAGGATGACATCAAGGAGGCCTTTTACGCCGACCTTAACAGAGTGCTAACCTCTATCCCCAGAGAAGATAAGGTTGTGCTCCTTTGTGACTTCAATGCCAGATTTAGCAGAGATGCTGACATATGGCAGGGAACCATAGGGAGAAATGGACTAGGCAAGTGTAATCCCAATGGCCTACTCCTCCTCAGCAAATGTACTGAATACAATATCATTATCACCAACACCTTGTTTAGGCAGGTCGACAAGTTCAAAGGCTCTTAGCAACTTGATGATCCAGCAGTAGCACATGCTTTCTGTAACCCAACAACAAACAACCAAAATCCGAGTGCCGAATGGGGACCCATCAAAGCTATCATCACAAAAACCTGCAACGAGACCTTCAGCCATATCAAAAGAAAACACCGGGAGAGGTTTGATGAAAACAAACCAGAAATCGAAGTAGTTGTCAATATTAAACGTGCTGCTCTCACTGACTGGCAGACCAACCTTAAGTCCCGGACCAAAATTGGTACCTTCCTTGTGTATACCTTGCAAACTAATGAACGAATCGTGGAAAAATATAGAGTGAGAAATGCAAAAATTTGCAGATCAATGCAAGACTCATGAAATTTTAAATAAAATTAAAACAATATGTGGCCCAACTATTCATGGCGTGGCCCCCGCCCTGCTCATCCGACATTAATTCCCAAATTAAAGACGAAGAAGGCATCCACCATTGCTGGAAAGAGCATTACCAAACTACTCAGCAGGTTCCTCAGCACCCAGAGCTGACACACCTTAGCAATCCTCCATCCATGGAAGAGGTAACAACTGTCATCAAGCAGATGAAAAATAACAAAGCCACAGGGCCTGATGGAATCCCAGCAGAGGATTATAAAGCAGGAGGACCACTGCTAACCAGCTATCGCCCACTTGCTCCTGGATAATATATGGGAGAAGGATGAAATCCCCCAAGATCTTAAAGAAGCCTCGATCGTCAATATTTATAAAGACAGGGGAGACCAGTCAGACTGTGGCAACTACCGAGGGATCTCGCTGCTGTCCATAGGTGGGAGGATTGTCGCTCAATTCCTCCTAAATAGGTTTCTTCCTGGGGCGGATAACTTCCTCCCAGAATCTCAGTGAGGCTCTAGACTATCACGTGGCATCACTTATATAATCTTTGCTGCCCGCCAGACACAAGAAAAATGCAGAGAACAGTGTCATGACTTAAACATGTCCTCCATTGGCCTTACTAAGGCCTTCGACTCGGTCGACAGGAAAGCTCTCTGGCTGACCCTCAGTCGTTTTGGCTGCCCGTCAAAATTCATTGTTATTGTGAGGCAAATCCACGATGGTTTGAATGGCAGTGTTCTGCACAATGGCACCCAGTCTGAGTTCTTCCCCATCCAAACGGGGGTTAAACAAGGCTGTGAACTGGCACCAACTCTCTTTTCCATTTTCTTAGGTGCCTCCCTTACTCGTGCCAGTGACAATTTTGCTGGCGTGTAGAAATACTTTTCAACATAAGACGGCGCCAGGCAGGAACAAAGGTGTTGGGAGCTTCCATTACTGAACTTCCGTATACAGACGACCTCACCTACTCAGATGCATATGCACATTTCGGTCTTAAGGTGAATACAAGTGAGACTCAGATTTTCTTTCATCCTGCCCCTGGTTCATCCACACCTCCACCATCCATCCAGCTTAACGGTACTAGCCTCTTTAATGTTATCCACTTCCATTACATTGGCTCCCACCTGTCCACCACCGTGGATATCGATCAAGAAATTCAACATCGAATCAGATGTACATCTCAAACCTTTGGCTCTAGGGAGCTAAAATTATCTACAAAGTTGTCCCCACCTTGCTGTATGGCAGCAAAACATGGGTTGCATACAGGAGGCACATCAAGGCACTTGAAAACTTTTACCAGCGTAGATTACGTTCCATTCACCGAGTTTGCTAAGAAGACAAGAGAACAAATGCCAGTATTCTCGCTTAAACCAACTGTAGGAGCATCGAGGCTACCATTATCCAGGAAAAACTACGCTGGACTGGCCATGATGCCCGCATGGACGATTGTAGACTGCCAAAGCAGTTACTTTACAGTCACCTAACGAATAGTAAACGTAATGCTGGCGGGCAACTGAGAAGGTGTAAGGATAGTCTCAAGACAAACCTGAAAAAGTGCTAAATCGACCCCCTCACCTGGGTATTAGTCCACATCGTAACGTTTGGAGGAGCACCACAAAAGGTGTCAATACTTTCAAGTTAGTCCTACTGCATAACGAGGCAGACAAGTGGCAACGCTGGAAAGGCGCTGACACCGCCCCTCCTGCACTAGATATAGCCCTTCACATATGCAACATTTGCGACCGACCTTGCCGGTCCCGTATCTGCCTCTTTAGTCACCTCAGGACTCACCAATGAAGGTGACATCCTTAATAACTCATATCATTGTATCATAGCTGGATGAATATCATACTAGATTCCGAGTGACAGCAAAGTAGTAGTAGTTGTAGTGTACACATGCCAAATATCTCATTTAATGTTAATGTTAAAATGTTTTCACTGGCATTTATATTTATATACACTTTAATAATAATAGTACCTGTACATGTTCTGGGTACCAAGTTCCAACTACAGGGGCGAACACAAACACCTGTAGAGTTTTTTGTAGGTTCTATTTGCTGGACAGGCAGAGATACAAGCGAGGCAGCACTCCCTACTCTGACAGAGTGTCAACTGAGCCCTCAGGCGACATGTGGCAAGTGATACATGTAGCAGCTTCCAGATGTCGCCAGGCACATTATCTAAGCGTGTGGTGACATGATAAAAGCATTGCCACACGCTGTTAGCTAGGCAGAATAAATAATGAATATAAATAGAGTTCATACATAATATACATACAACATACATAATATACATACAGCATACATAATATACAAACAAAACATAATACTAATTCTCGTTGTGTTACAGATGCTGCTGGTTCTGCACAACTCAGAGGTAGCTGAGAGACAACTAGGAGATCAAAAAAGCAGAGATGCAGGTGTATGCTAATTATTAAGTTCTTAGTTGTAAGAACATTTTGTAGATGATTTTTATCCTGACTGAAAAAATAGTAGAGTCAAGCATTTCGTTTTATTGCTTTGTTATATGCACAGGAGAGTTTATTGGTTGTCTTTTGGGTGAAATGTTTTCACTACCACACGCCATTCCCACTGAACTCAGCCGACTGATTCCTC